TTCTCTACAAAACCCTTGATTAAAGGGCCGTGGTCGTCGCGCTTGCATGTGCGACGTTTGTGTTGATAAACAGATTTTCCCTCAATCCTGAATGCGCTCTTCTAATGGAAAACACAAGTATTGAGGTTTGACCGACCGCCGGTGACTCCCTCGGTGCCTTGCAATCACCTAAACAATTTGTTTTGGTCAAATAATTAGCCCAAATTTGTATAGCAGGAAGTTGGATGTTTTTCAGTCAAATGAATGAACAGTTTACTTTATCTGAATTGCATTTGCAGAAAGTGCGATTCGTTTTCTGAAAGGTAGTTTGGCATTTGGACACCGAGACTACCTTTCATGTTATTCTAGAAATTCGGCCATTTACAAGCATGTCAGGTACAGATAAACGAGTGAAAATCATAGTACAATACATAATACAATCAGTTAATCCATGATATAAGGACACCTAATATATTTCGGTAAATTAGAAATCAAATATGTTCTTGTTGGCGGACATCCGGACATTTTCGCCGCCGGGCAACCACACAGTGAAAACTAAAGCCGAAATCCGAGTCTTTCGGGAAAACTGTACTTTGGGATACTTGTTGAGACTCCCCTGAACAGTGTTACAGGATTACTCCTATTTTTGTAAAATATATAAATTTGGTTTCTCTGGATAAATTTAAAGTTGAGTTTGTGTTGATTCCTCAACTTTAGCTGTTTTCACCGGCTTTCGACCGGCGTTCAACAGCAGCTCGCGCAAAGCCCATAAAAAATAATTGGTACATTGGTGTGCGTCTTAGCAACTTGAACGTGGAACTTTCTGTGGCATAGCTCCGCCCCGAGAATAGACTAAATTCAAGTTGAAGATGAACAGATATATGTTGTAAACTATTAATGGGGCTTTCTACAACAAGGAATGTAGAGCTCTGTCCTTCTACATTACTTATTGTAGGAATCCTATCACCTTCAGCGGATCAGCGGCTACAATACTCAACAGCATACAAAGCAGCAGTAAACTTCGAATCATCGTGTGGCTTTACCAGACTTCGGACACGTAGAGCTGTGGAGATGTGGGTTTACACTGAGCGTGTATGTCGTTGATATACCAGTTGGTGAAGATTACTGCTGACGTCACAATGCTTTCAAACCAGATTATTTCTAACACCATGCGAATATTATGTTAATTATTATCATTATTTTCTCAAAATATTTAATATGAATGTTAGTTTTGAACCGTACATACAAAATACTCGTACATTTTGACTCACAATTTTGAATTTCGGGTTCATTTCAGAACAGAAACGGCCATATTTAAAACAGAACTACTTGATTGGAATTTACAAGTGGCGGTGAACCGGATATTTTACAATAACCTGATCACCTTATAACTCCGCAGGAAATGACTCCCCCCCCCCCCACACACACGACTTCAGCCTACATGGGTCTGCTCACTTTTCATGCACCACTCCATTCTGCAGCAGATTGTTTTACACCCAGCGCTTGACTATAGTCTGGAGACAACATTACATGTGAACACTCGACGCTCACACTTTTCAATTATTATACCTCACAGAAAACCCCTTTACTCAACAACGAATAACATCAAATAAACTCCACTAAAAATGATAACACCCCCTCTCATACGTCGCTCTACAGAAACAAAGTATTCTTCACTCCACAATCCTCTCTCCATAATTCTCTCCAATCCTTACTACACGAAACTACTCCCTCCCATTCATGACTTCACAATAGGCCATTCCTCCCTTCGCATGAGACATCCCATTCCTCTTTTACACTTTACTTTTCTACATTCAAATAGAACACTCCACAGGAAGTGACGACACATTACCCACACAGCACTTGACTTCGTCACTTGGTAATCATTGTGTGTTGCGCGTGCAACAATAATTGTGTTGAGTTCAATTGAAATGGTAGGAAAAATCTGTCACTTGCGTGCTACATTTTTGCAATCTGTTATCCGAATTTGTATCACTGATGTTGCTGTTTGAAATCAGAGTGCATAACACAGCTGACAATTATACTGAAAGAAACTCGTGATGAACATGATAACATGGGTATTAACTGACATTACAGATTTCAATGATTCGATGTGCACAGCATTGTGCATGGTAAAACAATCACAACCCCCATCAAGCTGAAAATCTTTTTATAATCTCATGTTGTTCTTTTGATTGAGATATCACAAGTTAAACGCGTATATTTTAGTATGTGTTAGAATATCAGGACGATGTATTTCAGTAACATATAATACACTGATTTTACATCGTTCAAGTTCATGTTGCTTTAATATAATTTGTAGAGGTACATTAGCGCATGACTATTGTTTTCGTGATATTTCTGGCTTAAGTGAGTGATGCAGTGGGTCGCTGGTATATATTGTTATCATCCCTATCCTCGGGGCGGAGCTACGTCACAGACGTTCCACGTTGCTATGACGCACACCACTGTACCGTGTATTTCTATGGGCTTTGCGCGAGCTGCCGTGAAACGCCGGTCGAAGAGCCGGTGAAAACAGCTAAATTCGAGAAAACAACACAAACTCAACTTCGAAGTAATCCTGAACAACCAAATTTATATATGTTGGACATGCATGGGTAATCTTGTTACACTGTTCGTGGGAGCCTCAACAACCATTCCTAAGTACCGTTTTTTTGAAAGTCCCGCCCATAATTAATTTCACTCCTGGTAATATTTAACGGACACAGGACACAAATCATCTCGCTACTAGTCATGTCTTGTGCAACGTGGTGAAAAGGTAACACATGGTTCTAATATCTCACCATTGAAGAACCGGATTATCTCACTTGTATTGGTCAATACAAGGGACAAGTGAAATAGATTTACCTCACCAGTAATGACCAATTTATGATGATAATATGTCACGTGGGAGCGTAGAATCACATCCTTTCATGTGTGTACATTGAAGAAACCACTTTATAAAATTTCACCGTTATTACCTCACCTACCTATGCCATAATGCATAATGAATGAGCTTAAAGCGGGAGGGTCGTCACCTGCTCACGCGCGGGAATTGAGTCCCAAGCGACAAAACAACACACGCTAAAACGCAAAGGCTCATGGGTAGACGTTTGACCCCTCTGACACATGCGCAGGTGACGACTCCCCCGCTTTAACCTATATAAAAGCGAAATGTCCGAAATTATTCACAATTATAAAAGATACACACACTCACAAGCGAATCATTATTCATTTCCCGGC